CAGATGAACTGAATCAACCTTTTTGGAGCTGTTGGGGTGGTTTCTTGTTCACGGGTAGAAAAGTTATGTCTTATTATTGCAGAGGTGCTGCTCTAAAAGACACAAAATATCCCCTCACTAAGGCGCCAGAGTTGCAGATGATCACAGTCTACAATATTAGAGAGAGGATCACAACAATCAGATGACAAGAGCAGCCCTTGGTGACAGTGGGAAGGAAGAATCCCTTTTTTAACAGAAAGAGACCTCCATCTGAACCAGAATCAGGGAGGAGCAGCCATCTCCTGGATGTGTTGGAGGGTGGTGGGAAAAAACAGAGACAGAAAAGAAGAGCTCGTGAAGAACAAACAGGACAGCAGGTCGTCTGTTAAACCAGAAGGTCACACTGCTAGAATGACAGTGGTTGTCCTCAGATCGTCTCATGTGCTGCTTGTTGTGAGTAAACAGGTGTGTGTTTGTGAACAGGTTTTTGAGGACATCTACCTGGGGCATCATCCAGTCTTGCAGAGAGTTTTGAAGATGGCAGACCTGGTGTTCACCTTCGTGTTTCTGGTGGAGATGCTACTGAAGTGGATCGCTTTTGGATTCAAGAAATACTTCACAAGCTTCTGGTGCTGGCTCGACTTCCTCATCCTAGATGTAAGAGCACAATCGGCAGCACCGATTATTGGCAGTATTTTACAAAGCCAGTCATGGAGGGACCACAAGCCAGTGTTGTCCTAGTGCTGGTCCCAAGCCTGGGTAAATGGGGAGGGTTGTATCAGTAAGAGCATTCTGACTAAATCTTGGAATGAACGAAAAATGATGTGGGGCATTTAACCATGTGTGGAGCTGGAGATCATAGACCCACCTCAGCATTGGTGATGGCACTGAAGCTAAAGGACGGGCTGTTCATGTCTGAGATGTGGGCGGCTTTGACAGGATGTCAGTATTTGATGTTGTAGTAAAGAAATGGGGTTGTTTCAGTTTGAACAGATAAACTAACAGCACACAGTCAGGCTGGCTAAGATGAACCTGCTGCTGCTGCTGCTGCTTCACTGCTCTCCTGTACAATGAGGTCAGTTCAATTTAATCGAGTTCAAGTCAATGTTATTTATATAGCACCAAATCACAACAACAGTTGCCTCAAGGTGCTTTACACTATAAGGTCAAGACCCTACAGTAATGTTAAGGAAACTGAGAAAACCCAACAATAATATGACCCCCTATGAGCAAGCGCTTTGGAAACAGTGGGAAGGAAAAACTCTTTTAACAGGAAGAAACCTCAAGCAGAACAAGGCTCAGGGAGGGGCGGGGCCATCTGAGGCGGGGCCTGATGATTTAAGACCTTATTGATTTAAGAGTATGTGAGGAGCAGG